TACTCAAATTGAAGGGGCCCCTACACCACCCTCGCCGCCCTCTTCCGTAGATGAAAGTCCTCTCTAGATAATCCTCGAGCGTCGTCAACTGACGAATACCGGTAATCATTGTATGTACATCCACAAGAAAAACTATTATATCAGTCGTTTTCAAGAAAGATCCATTTCCGCTACCTCGTCACTCATCATTCCACCCATCGGAAATTATATATACATATAAATCAAACGTCATCAATCGGACTTGGGCGCCTCGGGATCGCCCTCCGCAACCAACTTGCCAACAACGAGGTACTTCTCCAGAAAGCGCTCCTCCCAGCCGCGTAAATTATCCATTTGATCGGCATCCAACCCACTCAGATCATCCAGAGGACCTTTGAGATCCTTTGTGAGCATTTCCTCGTCAAAGCTCTGGCAGGCTAACCCGCGAGTCGCATCTCTGCCCGCAAAATTTTCATAGGGGCCACCCTATACATAACGTGCGACGGAGTGGTTAGTTTTGAGTTCTCTTTATGTATGTAAATTAGCCCGAGCGCTTACCGGGCCGTAGAAATTGCGTCCGGAAGAGACGTCAAAGACTCGTCCGCGGACAGCTAGGTAGACTGGGGAACCATCTTTGCCGTTGAATGGGAGAAGAGTTGTTGGGGTGAAGGTGCGGAAGACGATAGGCGGCGGTCCTTTCGGAAGGACGACGCGCTCTCGAGGTCGAAAGTGGAAATAGAGGAGGACGACAAAGAGGGATGCGAGGACAAGATTTATCGGGGTGGCGATGGAGGCTCTATTTTGTTACTGTTTAGTTTCAATTTCAGTGCTGTTACATGTGTTGTACGTTTGTTTGTTCCAGCCGGATAGTGGTCATTCATTGTATGGACTTACACCTCAGCAGCGGGCGGAGTGGGATCTTACAGTGGGGGAACGACAGTGTTAGCAAGTTGTTAGCAAGTTAATACTACTGGCAGGATATGGTACCTACCTGTTGCCATTCTCCAGTACTTACTCAGGCTCTGAGCTGCGAGAGCTAACTGCAAATCGGAAGTTTGATTGTTGGTGGATGTTGGAGAGGGAACCTTGGAACTGAGGCTGTGAACTGAACAAGTCCCGCTGCGATTCGGCTCTGGAACCACTGGATTGCTATCACGTGATAGAATCTGAAACGGGGTTGCTGGAAGCTTTGGAAGCCAGGACTTCAGGATGGAGCCAAGTGGTGGAGCGACAAGAAAATGAAGAGCTGAATATCGTCCATCTGTACCATGGAAACCGTCACACCCTCTGAACAAATAATTTTACATGGAGCTGTGACCCGCTCCATCTTGAGAGCCACTCCAGCTGGGTGACTCCAGCGTTCGGTGGACAAAATGAGTTAATTTTAGCGCAACCCACAGGCCGAAACAATGTAAATGGCTGTTTGGCGTAGGCTGCTGCTTAGGCATTTTCCGGCGTGTTGGTGGGCCAAGCCTGTGGGGTGAGTCTATGTGCATAACCCTCACTTGCGGGCTATTTGCCTCCAAATTAAAGGATTCCGTCGCCTAGGGCTTGGGGCCATTGCTTCACAGGACGCGGGAGAACCCCTTACGGGGGGTTGTTGTTGTTATAATATACCCGTGGACGTGCGCCCGCAACCGGCGATTGAATTGATGATAAATATGAGTTTCGCATGGCCTCCTGAAACACCACAGTTTGTCTTTACCAAGGGTTCTAACAAAACTTTCAGGGGAAGGGAGAGTTAATTATTGTTTGAACCAGCGATGTGGAAGAAGAACCTTCGATCTAGAGGCCCCGTGATTGGCAATCCAGTGCTCCTGACGACGACTTTCGACAATGCGACGCTGGAGAGCATGACGACTGTCACTACTCCTACTAATAATAATCAGAACTACAAAAACCACAACCATCATGACAACGACCGGCATAGTCCATCTATGTGAGCTATCTCGGTTTTCATAACTCCCTCTCTTCTTCTCAGTCTTATACATCGACGTCACGCATGGGGAAGGGTAGTGAAACTAATATCTTTGTTTGAACCCGGAAGTAAGCCGATGGAGCCGGATTCGCGCAGACCAAATCCCTTTTCCCGACCGCCAGTCGCATCGTCTATATATTCAAAGCGCGATTCCTACGCAGCAGGCAACATGCCGTTAGCCGATCATGACGTGCATCCATTGAGAAGGAACCCCAGGCCCTATCAATCGGAGTTCCGTGACAGCCAATACACCGATATATCGCCTCCAGATTCTCCTGTTTTTGCTCCCACCGGCCATCGTGAAAGCCCCGATGTATCTCCCATTGACAATAACCCTCCACAGTTCCCACTTCCCAGACCACCTCTCAGGGAACACCTTAGGGAAGGCCGGCTCCCGAGTGCTGTGCCCGTACCGTCCAAAAACGTCACTCGCAAACCCAATGCAGCACCCACGCCAGCACCACCTCAATCATATGCATCATCTTCTCCGGCATCTCCGAATCAGGAATCGAAACGACTCACAAGGTGGGATGATTTTTCTGGGGAACCCACTCACGACGAGAAGGGCAAAATAGCTCAAGCCACTCCCGGAAGTGTTGTTCCTCCGGAGAACCCGCCGACCAAACAGTCATCTAAGCAGGGGTTTAATTTCATAGCCAAAGGGAAAGAGTTGAATCAGGCAAGAAGAAAATTTATGGATGGCCGGCGCCACACTGATAAGAACGATAAAGATGATCCGGCCCTTTCACCCCGCCCCCAAGAGCCATGGAAAGGTGCAAGTGGGCGAGCAGCCATTGTTAAACCCATAGAAACGAAGGAAACTCCTCGACCGCGACCGCCGCAGACTATTCAAACCCAACCCCGAAAAGTCAGTGCCCCAGGAATAGAACGCAAATCACTCCCTCGCAATAATGCCGCTAGCGGACTTCCACCCCTTACGATATCTCAATCGAAAGCCGTAGGCAGTGCACCTGATGATCCAACCATCAAACCTATTGTGCCACTAAAAGCAGGTAATAACACACCGACATCTGCCAAAAGCCCTTCGACTCCTGCTTCACGGTCGATAAGCAACGGGACTCCAGCGCGATCCGAAACTCCCCGGCCGACGGAGCATGCACCACCCGACCCGGATCTTACTACCGGGCTCCAAAACGTAAATTTAGAAGAACAGCCATCGAGCCGTTTCAGCACGACTACATATGCAACAACCGAAGCTCCAAGCAGTCCTCCTGGAACACCACGTGCTCGAATGGCTGAGAAAGATGCCCCTCCCCTCCCTGCAATTCATGCAGAAAGGACAGAAACTATATCATCGCGGACCTTTGTCAGAGCCACTAAGCGCAAACCAACACCATCAGAAATTACATCGTCATCTGCAAAGACATTACCCCGCAGCCCTCCTGAGCTGGAGGCCGAAAACCGCATCGAGGCGATGGAAGCTCGGCTCAAAGACCTCGCCCAGCGCAGAGGTAATATCGATACGATCCTCCATGAGTTGACGCAGGTAATACAGCCCAGTTCCATCGCGTATGATCTCGCGACGAGGAGCGAGGTCAAGAAGTCGGTCAACAGCCTGAACAACGAACTTATGGAAATTAGGAAGGAGGAACATGATGTGGGAATGAAGTTGATGAGGGCGAGGAAGAAGCAGGATCAGGGCGATTACTATCAAGGGTCCAGTATTTGGGTTAAGAGGGTTACTGAGGATTACTGAGAAAAATCCTGTATTATCTGGCGGTTCTTTCTTTCTCACCATATTTTCATTACTACATTTGTCCCTGCTTCAATCTCCGTTTAAGCAGCCCTATCCCTCTCAACCCCTGCCACATTTTTGCTCTTTTTGTTCTCTTTTTTCTTTATTTTATTTTCTTTATTTTATTTTATTTTTTTTTTCCATGACGGGGCCAGATGACACATCTTTTCTCAAAATCCGGCTTTCCTTTATGGTCGCCTCTTCCTCATAAGCCACGAGCACGAGCTCCCGACGCTCTCAGTTAGCTTTCTTCGTACATGTTGCAATTAGATGACAAGAATAAAAGGGAAAGGGGGAAATCAACACCCGATGTGCTTTTCTTTTTTTTCTTTTTCTTATCAATATGATTCTCTGGACGTGAAGTGGACGTCCCGGAACATGAGACATACAAAATTTAGAAACAACAAAAATATATATCTCATTTTGCAAAAGAAACCCTGCCATCAGCATCGAAAGCCGGTGTTGAACGTGGGTGGGTATCTCGTATGAACACAGAGAACGCCATGTTGTTATCCATCACTCCATATCTCGGACTGCTTCGTTTATTCGTGATTGTAGGTTTTTCGCATACACAGCAAAGGCTAACGCTCATCCCTCATATCCCCCCTCCCGGTTTGGTCGAATCGAACTGGTCGTTGGTTGCTAATGGATTGCAAGTGTACATAGGAAATAGCGTATATTTATGCTGGTTGCTCCCTCGTGCTCTATTTCTTCCCAGATTTCTTGATTCCCTGTTGTCCCGAGTTCATCGGGCCTCTGCCCTTTGCCTTTTCCGCCAGCTCCTTCTTGGCTTTGGCGTCTAGATGTAATGAAGTTAGTGATCGTGGGTTCGCACGAGCATGCGGCACATGGAAGTGTCAGAGAGCGGTGGTAATGAATAGCGAAAATTGATTGGACTGAGTGTCATACCAGCTTTCTGCTTCTCTCTGAACGCAATTTCATCCTCATCGAGTTCCTTCTTCTCCTTCTTGGGAGCCTTGAGCGGTTTCGCCTTTCCGCCTAGAGCAGGGTTAAAATATTAATAATGCCAGTGGGGGAACAGAGTGAGGTGCCAGTCAGCCCTCACCTTCTCGTCCTTGCCCGCCCATTTTCGCCAAGTACTGTTGATGGAACTGAGTGTATTTCTGGGAATAGGGGATGCGTTGGTTAGCAAGGCGAAACAGGTATTTTCTTCTCGTCAAACGACCTTTTGCATACGAGCAGAGCTTTAAGGCTTGTATGGTCGGTGGAAGTGTTCTTCGTTGTAGAGTGGCGGGAAGACACTAGCGCCTAAAATGGTTAGCAGAGCCTTGTTTCGCCGCTTTCGACTTCAACGTCTTCTCTCAGCTATGCGAAAATACAGCTTTTGCCCTTGTCACAACACCGTCAATTATCTCCAAGCTATCTATATAGAAGAATACTTCTTCCCTTTTCACCTCCTTTGAACTATCGAATGTGTTTCATCTAGTGGTGCGCCGCATGTTGTGGGGACATATTTTGTCGGGTTGGACATTTCACCATCACCCAGAGCCCATTATTTGAACCATCCGAGAACAGAACTATTGCTAACTGAAGATATCACAACTCCGCAAGCCCAATCCCCCGACGTTTGGCCGAAAATTATTCGCAGAAAGGGAAATACCCACTGGCCTGCAAAAGGACTGTTCTTTTCTTTTTCCAAAAGATAAGATCAATCATCGCCGGGATGGCATCACGACGGTCGAGGTCTCCATCGACCCCATCTGAGGGTGAGATCATCGAGTCAGGCTCAGATACGAAGGCAACTACGTCACAGGCTTCTGTTAATGGCATCAACGTTGACCGTAATACCAGAATCAATATCTCTGCCCCAAGATCCCCCCCTTCTCTTTCCAGACCGTTCTATCGTGAGAGATCGAGATCGAGAACAAGATCCCGTTCCCCATATCGTGGATTCAAAGCCGACAAACGAAGACGCGATGTCTATTACGACTATGAAAGGGGCGGCCGAACGAACTCGTCAAGCCGTTTGACTTCTAGATACGATGATAGATCTCAAAGCGGTTACAATTCACGACGGCGTAGGAGAGGGTATTACGATCATGATCGAGACGACGGCAATTACGATTCTAGGAAACGACCTAGGACTCAAAGCAGGTCTCCGTTCCGCGATGTTAGAGGTTCGAAACAATATTCAGGTGATGAGCGAGATGACAGTGACAGACCATCCAAAACCCGTAACCTGAGTGGTAAACCCTGCGTGGGTGGTAGAAGGACGTCTACTGAACAGTTAGTGAGCGAGAGGGGGAAGAACCCAGGTGACGCTCGAAATAAGAGACAACAGGCTGAATCTCGAGAAAATCAGATGCAACAGTCTTCACCCACCGTCGCCGCATCGGATAAGTATGTTCTCCCTCCCCCCGAACCTGGAATCACTCCTAACTTTCCTCCTAGTACTCCTGCTTCACGCAATGATGACGATGACTTTGTCAATGGGTTACCCCCAGAGCCGGTTGATGAAGCCACCCTGATTGAACAACGCCGAAAGCGCCGTGAAGCCATCAAAGCTAAGTATCGTGATCAGTCTACACCTCTCCTCGTAAAGGTCCTGCAAGCTGGGAATGAGACAGAATCCACAGTACAGAATCCAGGTCAATCTATGGCTCAGAATGAAACACCGGCAGGTCAGTTGCACGTCTTCCTTAATAGTTTTATAAACGAAGCTAATTTGAGTATAGATTCGCATCTAAATACTCCTTTAGAAACACCCGAGGATACGTCAGGCGCTCCATCGCCAACTGAACTAAGGGTCTCGCGAGATGAGGACCTTGCTAATGCCAACGTTGTGACTACCAACGGCGTCGACAAGGACGAATCGTCTTCTGCGGACTATGATCCAACTCAAGATATGAGGGAGGATAAGATGCGTCACGACAAAAGACATTTTGGTGAAGAGGTATCTTCTGGTACTTACGATGAAACTAAAACAGCAAAGCAAGATGTGCTCGTTTCCAATCCAACCACGGAGAACCCGGCCCAAATTAAAGCGACGAACCCTCTAGAGATAGACATGTTTGCCCCAGAAGATGATATGTTTGCTGAGGAGGCTCCCATTACCTCCAAAGCCCCTGAAGTTATTTCTAAGCCAAGTATACCGCAGAAACTCGATATGAGCATGATGGACAACTGGGATGACCCTGAAGGCTACTACAACGTCATGTTGGGGGAGCTGGTGGATGGGCGGTATCATGTTCAGCAAAATTTAGGCAAGGGTATGTTTTCTTCTGTGGTTCGTGCTACGGATTCGAAAACAGGAAGGCTTGTTGCCATTAAAATCATTCGCAATAATGATACTATGAGAAAGGCCGGTATGAAGGAGATTGAGTTATTGGAACAGTTACTAGCGGCAGATCCAGATGACAAAAAACATATCATCCGATTCGAGAGGTATTTCGAACACAAAGGCCACCTGTGCATAGTGTTCGAAAATCTCAGTATGAATCTCCGCGAAGTACTAAAAAAGTTTGGTCGTGATGTTGGCATTAATCTCAGAGCCATCCGTGCTTATGCCCACCAGATGTTCCTAGGCCTGAGCCTCCTCCGAAAATGCAATATCCTCCACGCAGATCTAAAACCCGACAATCTCCTCGTTAATGAAAACCGAAACCTTCTGAAGGTATGCGATTTGGGTTCGGCGTCGCCGGCCTCTGAGAACGAAATTACCCCATACCTTGTCAGCCGTTTTTATCGTGCTCCCGAAATCATCCTCGGAATTCCATATGATTACGCCATTGACATGTGGTCCATTGGATGTACGCTCTTTGAGCTGTATACTGGCAAAATTCTCTTCACAGGTCGCACTAACAATCAAATGCTCCGCTCTATAATGGAATGCAGGGGTAAATTCCCGCCCAAATTCCTCCGGCGAGGTACCCTTACTTATCTCCATTTTGACGACTTTTTAAACTTTCGCAGCACGGAAGAGGATAAGGTCACGGGCCGCATGGTGACAAAAATCGTGGATTTTAAGAAACCGACGAGGGATTTGAAAACGAGGTTGATGGGGAAGGGGTCGAAAGGGATGAGTGATTCGGAAACAAAGGAGCTCACGTTATTCATTGATATGTTGGATCGGTGCTTAAGTGTCAATCCAGAGAAGAGGTGTACGCCATCAGAAGCATTGAAGCATCCGTTCATCACTAGGGGTAAAATTTGAAATGGTCGGATTAGGGGAAAATATTAGCAGGTCAATAGATGCAATCTAGACATAGCATGGTGCTGTAGGGCGGGCTTGTTGCTGGTTTTCACTTTCTCCAAAATCGGTGGGTGACGGTGATGCTTTTGCCTGGTGATTCTTTTTCCCCGTATCATACTACATCGTCGTTTAAATTACTATCATCATCATCATCATCATTATTATTTTAAATATAGCTACTCAGCAGCACTTAGCATTCGTAGATAGATAACAGAGTTCCAAAATGTATAAACAAATCAAATTCGGAGGCTTTGTCCCTTCTGGTTCCTAAGTTTCATATGATTGACCAGCCGATTGATCAGTACATATTCTCAAATGGAATCCAAATTTGGTCCTCTCTATTATCAGAGGATAAAGCTATCAAATGCATGATTTTCCAATAGCCATCTTGTCACCCCTCCTCAACTGGTGACCCACGGTCTTCGACAGGGTACTTATCCAAACTCTCATACCATTGGATTACTGAGCCGACCAAGAAGGCCCATGAACCCCAGAATGTCGAGAGGCAGGCTTGATATTGCAAACCGGAGTTGTTATACGCAAGGAGGAAAATACCGGAGAGCTGATTCGGATTCCAATCAAAAAGTTGTTGTTAGTCATATGCACAGGAAGGAGCCATCCCAGCAGGAGGAGGGAAACAAACAGTGAACCCGAATGAACCTATGAGATTCCACAGGTTAATATGCCATCCTAGTGTTCGAAGGGCCGGTGTGTACCAGTTCTTCTGCGTTTCAAGAATGAATAGTGTCCTACGAAGATGTTAGGCATTGTGCTACTGAGGGAAAAGTCGATCCCTACTAACGTATGGAGAGTGGGCATCAACTGCTAGATCGAAAACTTACGAGCTTATAATAAATCCAACTCCACCTATTATCTGAGGAGCCCGGTACACACCGTTGGCGAGATTTTCGCTAAGATGGTTGTTAATCCCAGGCAAAGAGGTAAGACCAGCTATCCAAAATATGGTGGCCCCGATGAGTTGCATGGAGGAAGCCAGAAAGCCCAGCTCGTGAATATAATGAGTTCGAAGGTCCCTCAAAGTTGGAAACCATTTGAAACTCGGTGACCTAGGCATCCCCGCCCTCGATGAGCCTACCTCACCAGACGAGTTGTTGGTAATTGGTGTTTCCAAGCCACCTTGGCCAACAAGATTTCTTTGGTTTACATGATGGTGGGTGCAGCTCCTTGGATCGGGGTAGACTCGAAGCAAGGATTCACCTTTTTCGGATATGAAATGTTCGAGCGCCCATCCAAAACAGCCGGTGTCATGCACATTGATTGCTTCTAGTACGAGGAAGATGCTTCCCACTTCAAAAATTGTCGCCCCCACGAATGCTGATACCCCCCCGGCGATCAAAACTTCATGGGCGAATTCCGATTTCGGTTGAACGAGTGGTAGGAAAACGAAGAATGAGTTCATTACCCAGACAATGGAACCAAGAGTGAAAGAAATTGCTGTCAGATATGATATGTCCCAATAAGGGTATTGTACTACCATGCGTTTGATGCCTCCCAGAGTTGCCCTAAAGGAGTTCATCCATTTGGATACAATATGTACACGCTTCCCCGGCTCAGTTGGACGTTCAACTATTAGTGAATGTCTTCCTTTTCTGTTATCTCGTGACCTCCATTCGTAGCTGATATCACCTCTCACTTTCCTTTCATGTCGCAGTTGACTTTTCGCGAGATGGATAATCTTAGCAGGTGAATGCTCTCGAGCATGCACAAAAGAAAACGGTTTAGAGATAACATGTGTAGGATTCAACCAAGATATTGGCCCCCTGATATGGGATAACTGCAGCCTCTCATCTTGAAACGGATGACCATCAGGGTTGATCGATTTGCTCCGACTCTGGGAATAGTCCATTGGGATTGTAAAGGGGCTTGTACGCCACCATTTAAACGCTACATATGCTCGTGCGAAAGCATATGCTGTGTATATACAGACCGGTTAAGGGGTGGTTCAGTGACTTACTTGACCTAACGGACAGGCAATCCGTGCACAAGGTGCCCCATTTATGCTCTGTTACGGAGTATAGTAAAACAATGATGTGTAGCTCTATCGCGCATGTCGAATGAGTGATGCCAAGACTCGATGTGGATGAGTATACTACCCCAGAAGGGGGAAAGCGCTGAATTTAATATCCAGCCCGCAGAAATCTCCTTGCAGCGACTACGTTTCCCTTGAATATTTCAAGGAAGCATCAGCTCAAAAGGAACCCAATTGTCACTTAGAGTGTTCTGTGCATGCTGATTGCTGTGACACTCTTTATTTTGGAATCACCGGCTTTGCTGTTACTCGACTATGAGGTGTGTAGTTTTACGCATTGGATACTTCATAACTACTAGTTAATCAACACGAAAATTAATTTGTCATGATATTCGCTCAAGGCTTCATGCTTGCAATCACCTGCGTAACCAAGATGCATTCTGCTCAACAAAGCGCCTCCCGAAGTGTCACCACAGCCACCACTAGATGTGACAGCATGCCAGAATCCAGCATCAACGATGACCCGAAAAGGTGCGCGTTGCCTTGGTTCACTGTCAAAGTATCAAAAGGGACCAACAAGCTTGATTGAAATGTTCCTGATCGAACTTGCGTCTGTCCATGGAATCGGCGAGGCTTTCCCAAAAACAATGCTGTTCCTTTCCACAGAAATTATTTAGGGTTCAATGACTCAAGCTTGCAAAAGTCAGTCATTTTGTACTGGACATTTCGGATATTTCTTTGTTCATTGAAAATGGAACTGCCATACGCTTGGCCCTTCCTGGAGACTCATGCGCCTGGACTGGAATCAAGGTGGATAAAAACTAAAATATGTTTCGTCCAATGGGAGATCATATTGTCTTTTGAGTTCAATAGTGGGGCTCAAGACTATTTTCATCGAAACATATCCTAAGACGTGGTCGGCGCATGTTTGCTTCTAACTTCTCTTTAACGCCTTTCAAAATCCTGCGCCGCGAGAAGAGAAGTTGTTTTTATGGTAACCGTAAGGTCAATCGGCTCGTCCGGCGCCGATTAAAAGCGACTTTGGAAAATCTGAGATCGGCTTGTGGACAAAGGTCGAAAGCGTGGTTGGCAAAGTTTTGCTGGTGTTCCGTGATCAATCCAGTCTTCAAACCTCCTTCGGTTGTCGGTCGAAAGTTGCTATATTTGCCGTTCTCTCACACACAATGGATGGGCAACCTCTCCAACCCCTTGTGATTATGACGCATGGGATTCGCAATAATGAAGAGGATTCCCTAGCCCCTTGCGGAATGGGAAGTCCTCTCCTACCAACCTTTTTCCGTAGAATTCGTTTATTGTTCACGGACAAGATGCTGCTTTTCCTACCATAAATAAAATCAAACAATGATTTCTCACGTTGGAGCAGAATGACAAGGAAGAAATATCCATCGAGGTGAGGTTTGAACACAATTACGGGCATCATCCTTCGAATTCTTACCCATTTCATCAACCGCAACGAACAAATATCTTGACATTGATCTAAATTTGGTGGTTTCAGCCAAGTTTAATGATAATTAATAAGTATCCTAACACGGTGCACTGACCTATGGTGCCAATCTTAGCCCCAAAACAGCGTTTCCCCATTAATCCTCTTTCGTGTTTTGGGGCTTGAATTTCGGGACATCGTTTCTTGATATTATTTTTGATGAAACACCACGATCATAAGAATATAGTTCAGCTGATCTTTTCTGGAATTTCGGAGAAGACTATTGACAGGCAAAATGTCTGTCCGTTCCCCAAAAACTTGGCTGAACAACGTCTTGAGGTTGCAAGATCGACTTCAGGTGCGGAGATATATCCTGTTTTCAGCCCTTCGCACCCCGCCCCCTGAGAATCCGTAGCTCCTCTACGAACTGGGGGTCCAAAATGAAAATATCCCAAGTGATCAAGCGCTTAAATCACGGAGCTATTGAAGCGATTTATTTCTCGTGGATGACATATGGGATATGATTTGGGCACCAATCGCATCAATGCGCAGTACTTGGACGTCCTTAGACACGATCTCGCTCAAAAGAAAGCCGGTCTTAAAGTGAATTGGGGTCGGTCGTTGAAGAGGTAGCTACTAAATATCGTATTTGCGCACCTTCTTTGCAGGGAATGTTTTTGTTCCAACAAGGCCAGCAATGGCTGTTTTCGTTTGATAGTACTCCGTATTTTAGTTATAATTAATAGCTTGGAGATGGTGTGAATGGACTGTAGCAAAGTAGACCATCGGGGTCCAGAATCCCGTCAAAAGCTGCCACTCGCAAGGCGTCCGGGGGATAGAAACCCTCTCATCGAAAAAGGTTGCTTACTGGCTGGTTGATGCTCTCGTCCCACATCCTGCGAATCATGTAGTACACAGCATGATATCAAAGGATGTTTGGTGAAAATGGATAATTCGACCCCTCATTTGTAGATTCAAAGGGGCTGCATTTATGCCTGCCCACTCATATCCTTCCCCCTTTGCTGAATGCATGAGTGTATGCTCGTCAAACCCACACTCTTGTGGAAACCAACAAGTCGCTTCTCCTACTGGGAGTGTGCGAATAAGAAGACAGGGAGTGAAGAATTATCGACGATGACAAAACGCTCCCAGCCCGCCCATCCGCAACACAAGTTCTGGTTTGCCCAGCCTCACTTTGTTATGTCCAAACCGTCCTGGACCAACGCGACGCCTGTCTCCAGTCTTATCAGCTGCTTGGCGGGTCAAGTATTTGCATGGTCGCAATGCTTTTCATGTGCAAGAGGTATTACCGTATGCCTTGCCCATCCACCAGACTTTTGATCAGCCTTGTTTCTTCGAGGGTCTCCCGTCTGTAGACCACATTACTCCGTACATTTTACAAATTAAAGCGCCATCCATCCTTCCCGTCTCTTATTGAATCGATGAAATTTGTTCTGATCATCATGATTTTTGCAACCAAGAAAATCAGCAGGGTGAGGCAGCTAATCATCATGTGACCATAGTGTTGAAATCCATGTTCGACGCACCTAGAGAGAATGCATGCAGTAAGCGCTGCCCCCTATGATGCATGGCTGCTCTCGAAGCGTAAATTACTCTCTGCATGGTCCAGATCCTGGAGGATAAAACAGAAAACCAACAGCCAACCTCGCCAGTCATGATATCACAGAGGAGGGCTAAATTAGGTCGTCAAAAAATACCAATGACACGAGGCGATGAAAAACGCGTGGCAGGAGAATAATGTTTCGGAAAGCCCCAACATCTTTGAAACGGCAAATGGGCCCAAGCCCCAACCATATGACGAGCACTACGGAGTACTCTGCAGTAGTATTGAACAGCCTTCACCCGGGTGCCTGCGGCAACACAACCTTGGAAGGTTGTTAGGGGGATTGGATTGGGTGATTCGTATCCTCTATACTCCGTATACCACCACGGCGCTGGTGGTGATTGAGCTCTTTTGCCCTCGTGGCCTAATAGAAACAGGCCGGAGCCCTGGAGAGATGAATGATTGTCACGTGAGATTGGGGGGGGGGGCAAAATATGCGTCTAACTCCCCTGATTCGCTGATATCCAAAGCGGTGTGAGAAATGACGTAACCGCCATTCTGGTTCCCTTTTCCAAACTGAGATGAATATTGGAAGATCCGTGGCCCGACAAAGTGTTCAACATTCGCCTCCACCAAGATGTTTTCTTCCAGCAAGCTAAGGTACAGGACCTGGGAGCACTGGCTTCATTCGGCAATTTTGCCAAAATCTAAGTTTCAAGACATCAATATGATAACAACCTGGCCAGGTGATTCAAGGAGAGACCGACTCCCCCAAGATGGGCCTGGAACGCACCCTGAATAATTTTCGCGCTGATGGTGAACGAAGCGGGTCTCCGTGTGGAGAGGTTGTCTGCCTGCAATTTTGATTGTGTGTCCCATCCTTGCATCCAGCCATCTAAAATTAAATTTTATTCAAAGGGAAAACTCTCCAGTTCAACGTTGGAAACCCACGACTGACATGAACAAGCCTGCTTGCTACTTTGGTGGCAAGTGAGGGGTAAAGTCGTCTGCCGCCCTTCAGCGCCTTCGCGGTATTTTTGGTGTGTCCCGAGAGGGGGACAGCCCCTAGATTAACCAGCGGGTTTCTCGGGCATAAAAACGCCCTAGGGGAGTTCAAGCGTTTTGGTTGACCGTCAGGGATCGCCTCAGTATTTTTCAGAACGCCCCTCTCGCCTGATCGTGCGATGGAACAATTCCCCCCAGCCGTGCCCTGAGTCCTGGCATGCTACTTGAGCCGTTGAACTATAAGGGATGGTTGGGCAGGCATGTCGGTAATTCCACTCCCTCGACAGTCACCAAATACATCTTTTTGTTCTAAAATAGTTGATGGATGCCATCCAGCCATGCAAGCGTGCATACGCTGTACAGATTACATTCGCATTAAGTTGTCAGCTTCAAGTTATGCAAGTTAACCTCATGATACTGTCCATCATGGACATTCACACGAAATCAATTGAACAAACTTCGATGAAGTCATGCATTCCTCCGAGATAAGTTCACAGAACAAAGATGGAATTCTCAGCATCATGAAATAAGGAAACAACATCTTCTTTCTAGAAACTGCTCACAAGAGAGATGGAGACATCAACCTTGCTAACTGCTGTCTTCCCACTCCCATTGATGCTCTCTCCAGTTAAAACAGTCATTTTCAAAGCCGACTTTCAGGAGACCCAACTCCTTAGCTTCCCCTCCATATCACCTAACAAGACTCAAGGGAGGAAAAAGGACCAAATTCCCCTTACTACAGAGAATAACAGTTGTGCAAAAGAGAAAGCAGCCCATTGTATCAACAGAATTGATGAGTTAGCTGTTTGAAAGACCCATCACGGCTAACCCTACACAGTAAAGGCGACCTCTTTGAAGCCTCTTATGAATGGAGGCGATCCAAGCAAGAATAATTATTGTACGGATCCATGACCGCGATGGGAGCAGATCAAGAGACCAAAATATGCAGTGATTCTTGGGAGGTTGCTCAAGGGTCCCGAATTTGGGACTACCAGCACCCGAAGATTCACCAGCAGGCATTTATCTCTGAAAATAATACGCTTATGGAATAATGCCACTCATTTGCAGGCACGGTCACGAGGCTTGAAGGCGCGAATCCTCTGCATCAAGCTCCGCAGCCAGCCGATAAGAATGGCAAACACGAGCCACCCATTATGATTTTCACTTCATCCTGCAGCAACTGCATAAGACTGTGCTTAGACACCACTTATGCAACCTGTTTTGCCAGGAGGACGGCGGACGATGACAAGGGGCTGTGTAGTTAGCCTGTGCTGGAAACTACGCTCGAGAAAGGGCACAGAGCATGGCATCACGCCACGTATTGGAGCATTCGAGGCGAATGAATGGCCCGAGGGCGCCTTTGACTCGATGCTCTCGACCGCTGCTCAAGAATAGGGTCATTGATAGCCCGTCGCCACGGCTGCTCTAGCCCCCAAAAGCGAAACGCTTGCATTGCTCATCATTTCGCATTGTCCAATCTCATCTTGTGACCCAAACTGGCTCGCCATAGAGCGGAAATGTCAGGCAGGGTGGCTAAAACGTAGCATTCGTATTCATAAATCCGGTCCAGAGGACAGCGAGAGGAGTTTGGTCTTCAATTTCTACAGAAGAGACTGAAATGGGAGACATGAGCACAACATCAGTCGCCCGCAGGTCGTGTTGGAGCCTGCCCGCTTTGCTCCTTATTTACTTCACGCTCCTGCCGAAGAATAAAGGGCAGAATCCATCTTCCCGCTCGAAAGATGCAAACTTGTCGTTTGCTGGCGCATCCATCCATCTCCCACGCACGCTGCAGACTGGCAGTTCCAGCATTGACAAGCAGTCCTTTTGTTCCACACCGGTTTTCCATGGTTGCCAGTGATTGGGAGCCGCCATCACGCTTTTGGCCAGCCCGACCTGGGGAGACCTGGCCTCCCACCCAACTCCAGGATGATTGGAGCCCAGTCGCTGCACACGCCGCTAGCAGGCAATTGCATTCAAAATGTGGGGTGTGGCTGTCTGGCTTTTCCTGGCAAGTTGGTGCTTGGGATCGGTAATTTTGAATTCAAATGCGGCCTGGTACTGTACGCGGATGTTCGAGGTAATGCCCCCAGCGTTGTGAGAGACAATAACGGATAAGAAGCAAATATACACCGTCAGGCAGCGTAGAGAGGTGGCCATGGCTTTTCACTGACACATACC